GAGGTCAGAGGTCACCCCAGGTGGAGGAGGTGGAGGTGAGAGGTCACCCCAGGTGGAGGAGATAGAGGTCACCCCATGGCATCTCTTTGTCTCGTTGCATCACCTGATTCACATATCCTGCCCTGAGTCCTCGTGCGGCCCTGTGTGTGAGCAAACCCTGGGTCTACCCTGTCACTCAGTCACCTGCACCAGCTGTGGCCATCTCTCCTTTCAGGTGACCTGTACTGTTTGGATAGGGCCGTGTCAGCCTGCCGTGGCGTAGTTTTGAGATGCTAAGAGCTGGGTTAACAAGCAACCGCGAGTAAGCCAGTTCGTCAGGGGTTCCCTGGGATCCCGAGGGGTCTGTTGGAGGTGGGGCCTGGCTGCAGGGGCCAGCAGCAGGTGATGGCAGTTCAGGGAGGAGGGATGTCTGAGGTGGGACCGCAGGCTGGGCTCTAGGTGGGCTCTGGGAAGTAGGGAGGCGAGGGGAGAGGGACACGGGACAATGCCCAGCCACTGTTTGCACACACCAGGTGCTATGAAGACAGAACCAGAACATCTGGAAGCCACAGAATAGACACTAGGGCTAAGCCACAGCCTCCCACAAATGTACAGCAATGGGAACACTGCCCCAGGGAGGCCCCGCAGGCCCCCACACGTTGCCACGGGAGGGCAGTGAAAGAGGTCCCGGAATGTCAGTGCCGAGGGCTGTCAGCACCGGTGTGCAGCCTGCAAGCCTGTGGCTGCCAGGGACGCTGGCCACCTGAATGTCCATAGCCAGCAGCGGCCCAGAGCTCTCTCTCCCAGGCTTTCTCTCCTGGCTGCAGGCTGCCGGTGTGTGTGTACAGGTGTGCCTGCTTGCATCCGTGACTGCCTGCACGCTCAAGGCGAACACGTGAGCAAGTGGAAATTGCCCCGGGAACCAGGAAGGTCCCGCCTGGCCACCCCCTCTCTGTGCCATGTCCAACCTGCTCTCGGGAGGGAGAAGGGAAGCGACCGCCCCACTGACCTGGATCACGACGTCCAGCCCCAGTAGGGGCTTTTGGGAGGCATCCCCATTGCCGGGCTCGCTGGAGGCAGAGCTCATTGCAGCCCAGAACGCAGGACCCCAGAGGCCGGGCTCTGCTCCCTGGCAAGTCTCCTCCAGCTGGCCAGGGTCTTCCTTGGTGCACGGGCCCCACACCTGTGTGGCACCTGGCTCTGCAGTCCTGCGACCCAAGCCTGGGCACCCAGCTGCCCTCGCCCTGTGGGTGAGAGAGTATGGCCAGCTGAGCCCGTAGGTGTTGCTGTGGCAATCAGGACGCTGAGAGCTGGGTTTCCCTGGAAACGGGAGTGCAGGACCCTGTTGCTATGGGGACAAAGGAACGCTGTTGGCTGGAAGCAGATTTCCCTGGCGACCTGGAGACGCCCTGGGTGAAACTGTCTACCTGAGCAACGGCACCTGGGAGGGGCTGGCCTTTTCCCCCAGACACCGCCCCCCGCATTCGCTCCGGGGGGAGCCGTGTGCTTGCTGGACACACAGCAGGCAGAGGTAGCACGTGGATCACTGGTGTCCCTTGATCTGGACTCAAGAACTATGGCTTTTTAAAAACATTTGTCAAAGAATGTAGTGGTTGTCACAGGTGGTGGACTGAGGCCTGGGGAGGGACGCTGCCTGCTTGAGGGGCAAAGGAGCTCATCTTCCTGGCCTTGCACCTGTGGTCTGACTCCCACTAGAGCCCTTCAGAGTCATCTGCCCGTGGACCCACCCTCGTCCCAGGAAGCTGCACCGTTTCCCACCCTCTGGAACCGGAAAGGACCGCCAGCCGCCCTGTCCGGAGGAGAGCAGGCCCCGGTCAGCATGCGTGGTAGAGGGTCTGCAGAGCTTACCCACAACTTCTCACCCCGGAGGCTGCCAGGAGCTGTCGGGATGCCAGGGCAGGGCAGCTTCCCATAGGTGAGGCTATGAGAGGGAAGCAGGGCCATGTCTGCCACCTCCAGGCCGGCTGTCCCTGCAGACACAGAGCTCTGTGGCTCTGAGCCTGGGCCTCCCGGGGTCTCAGATGAAGTCAGGTGCCTGGCGGGCAGCCATGCCAGCGTTTCTGCCCCATTCCACTCCCTCTGGGGCTCCTCATTCTGAGCTGGGACCTCCTTGAGCTGATGCTGGCAGGGGTCCCTCTGGGGAAGGGACAGCCACAGAAGTGGACAGCGGACCCTGAACAGGGCAGCCTTTCACGCGAGGGCAGCCACTCCTGCTGCAGGGCCCACCTCTGCCGAGAGAGGGCAGAGGGCCCAGGCTACCTCCTCAGAGGCGAAATTCAAGAAGCAGAGGCACCTGTACTCTAAAGGCGCCCTCCCAGAGAAACGCCTGTGCTCTGTTCACCCCCACTCCTGAGGACAACCTCCAGGGTGGCCCTGCAGGGACAGGACAGGCTCTCTGGCCAAACACAGCCCCATGGGCATCCGGGCTGGGCTTCACTGGACAGTCCCTGGGGGACCAGGGGCCTGGTCAGTCCATCTGAGCCTCATGCTTCTGGCCCAAGCATGACCTCTAGCTCCAGGTCCAGACCCAGGACACGCACTCCATGGGCTGGGCCCCTCCCTGAGCAACCTCCAGATCCTCCAGGCACTCAAGACTGCCTGTCGCCCACCCTCAGAGTCCTGGGAGGCCCTGTGGCCATGGAAAGCCCTGCCCTCGATGCTTCAGCCTGAGGTGGGAGGGGCAGCATTTCCTGCTGGGGCTCCGCTGAACTCCCCTGAGGTGGGTAGGGGCTTAGAGGGTGTGGCCTCGGCCTCTGGTGAGAGTTCCTGCTGGGGGCAGGGTGGGTGGAGTGGGGAAGGGGCATCTGAGTGGACTTGTGGACGGTGGGGAGTGGCAAGGAGGCTGGGAGGCTGGTGTGATTTCCCAAGAGGGCCTCTTGGATAGGTGGAGATAAGACCTCACACGCCAGAAGCAAGTCCTGTGTCAGTCCTGACACAGATGCCCATGTTCAGGGGCAGGCCGGTGGCCTGAATGGGGGTGTTGGAGGGATGCCCTGACCTGAAGCTGTACATCCAGGCCAAAGGTGATGTGCACTGGGCCCAGCCAGGTGGAGGCACCCCGTGTGGCCTCTGCAGGTGACAGCTCTCAGGAGGGCTGGTGGCAGGGGCTCCCACCTGTGTTTAATTTTATATTTATTTATTTTTGAGATGGAGTCTTGCTCTGTCGCCCAGACTGGGGTGCAGTGGCA